ATTTTGGGCTAATACAAATCTTATTGTCAAAAGAAGAGTTTAAAGAATCGATATAAATTTTGAGTAAGCTCATTTGAAGTCAGTTAATTGAGTATTTATTCAAAAAAGAGAGCACGCTTGCTTAACAGCACACTAATAGGGACAGTTACCCTATATATGGTTTTAATAAATCTTTAATAAATTTATGTGAAATACTGTCTCATACACAGTTCGTCAACATTCTGTCATTCTTACGTAACTAATTTTACGGAAGTATATGCTACAAAGCATTTCTATTACACTGTAAATATTTCAAATAAAAGTATCACAATAGTTCTATCGCAGAAATAGAAGAATAAAAGGGATAAATATTGCATAATAACAATATTAACGTTATGAAAAAAAAAGCAAAACTGATATGTTTAAAATAGCTCTTTAAACTTTAATGCGGTCTGCTAATGAGCAAGATAAGCCAGTGTTATCTGGCTCAACATTGAGGTCTTTTACAGTCCCATCTTCAACAACCATGGAATAACGTTTGCTGCGTTTGCCACCCAACACTTGCAGATCTATACCAAGTTCCATGGCATCTGTAAATTCTCCTTTGGGATCAGCCAACATCCGTACCTAGAAATAAAAAATTAATTTAAATTAATTTTTTTGTAACAATTTCAATATTAAAATGTAACACAAGTATTTATCTTAATCTGATGTAATAAAATAATCCTACTTTTCCTGCTGCTCCCTGTTCTTTTCCCCATGCTGCCATTACAAATGGATCATTAATACTGACACAGAAAATCTCTGCAATTCCTTTAGACTTCAACTCTTCTGCTTTTGTAACATAACCAGGAAGATGAGTCTGAAAATTATAATAAATAATAGTAAGATCACACATAATAAATTACAACACTAAAAAAAAATAAAGTTCATTTTTTTTACCTTTGAGCAACCAGGTGTGAATGCACCTGGTACACCAAATACGATGATTTTCTTTCCAGCAGCAATCTGTGCTATATTTACTTTGTCATTTGGCGTGTTCTCAAAAAGATCCACACTGGGTAATTTATCTCCAACCTTGATATAAAATCAAACAATGTTGAATTATTTAATGTTGGGATTTACCACGATTCTCTATTTTCTTCTATTTCATGTCACAATGACGCAACACAATTTTAATTAAGCAGAAAAAACTGCTCAACTGCTTGTCCTTGCATTGTTATGAGGAGAATTAATCAAGCTACTGCATTTCATTTACGATAAAGATCATAAATTATAAACAAATTTTGTACTGTCACGTTTTAGAGCCACATAACGTGCATCAAATATATTAAAAATTAAAAAAAAAATGTCACACATTGGGAACCGTGACATCAAGCAACAATGTGATAAATTAATAAATGAAATATAAATTATTAATGAAATAAAAAAAATTAATGTTTGATCGAAATAACACACTTGATATCGCTATTGATATCGAACATAAAAAATTGACAAGTTATATCAGTAACAATAAAATTCATACTCACGGAAATAACCATTTTTTGTGACGATAAGTGAAAGCGCCGTGCGAAACAGTTGAACGTCGATGTTCTTCTGACAGAAACAACGCGACTCGCAAATTGACTCATGTGTATACGGAGCTTTCCTGTTTAATGATTTCCTCAAACTAAACCTCGAGTAAAAATGCGATCTATGATTCGTTGGAAGAAGCGCGCGCAGTCAAGCAAACAGCTGATTGCAATCGCAACATTGCTGCTCACAATTCTTGCAGATATTACGTAATTTCTCGAAACTGTTAGCATTTCACGACAGAAACATATTTAATCTAAAACGATTAATAACGCCGTCTCAGTAAATCGAGCAATACGATTGGTTGATTTTCCAAATTGACGTTAATTGCTCTAGCACCGAAAAAATCCATTCTGATCAAAAACATTGTTACATACATGTTGAATGTTACCGCGCTTCAGCGTAGTTCGGTCCCACAAATACTGATGGCGTATTCGAACTATAGTCGCGTCCAGATGTCATGTCATGCAAATCTAAAGACTAATTTATACCATAGACGTCTATAATATACTATACTGCGTTCAATTTGAGAAGAGAATTTTACTTGCGCATAGAAGAAGAAAAGCGAGCAAAGTAAGAATAGCGTTGCGTACGGGATTGGTGGAACATTTGCTGACAGCCAATGGCTGTAGAGTAAGGAGACTTATTAGTAGAGAAGGTGCGCGAAACGTACGAGTTTTCGTCTATCCGGTTTCTCTTCTCAAATTGAACGCAGTATATAGTTTTTCAAGGAGGCAATCGCTTCTGATTGGACAAAGTCAGTAACGTCATTAGTCCGCGACTTTCTCCCTGAGAGGTTCTCTAGAGGGTTTCGGTGAAAACTAAACCACCGATATCTGCTGATATCCACGTGTTTGGTTATGTGATCTGTATGTTTACGCAAGGTTAAACAAAATGCCAGCTAAAGTACATAATAAAATACTCATATACGAAGGTAGCAACTTTCTAAGATACCGTTTAATATTATCCACATTATCTGGAAAATCAGTAAAAATCACAAATATTCGATCGAACGATGATGATCCTGGTCTTAGAGGTTAGTCACAATCCGCTTAATGTAAAAAATCGTTATACACATATTATATTTTCGTATTTGGAAGAAAACTTCAAAATTCTAGTTTATACGTTACATTTTTTGTGTTGTATCTGTTGCAGAATACGAGATCAGTTTTATTCGCTTGTTGGATAAAATGACTAATGGCACAAAAATCGAGTTAAATGAAACTGGAACCAATTTGTATTATCAACCTGGTTTATTAAATGGTGGTGAATTGGAACACGACTGTAGCCTGCAAAGAGGTATTGGTTATTACTTGGAAGGAATTATGATACTTGCTCCATTCTGCAAAAATCAGCTTAATCTCAAACTCAGAGGAATAACCAACAACACTACAGGTACAATATCTTTTTTGATATAACTCAATTATTGAAAGTCACAGTACTTACAACAACATATTCTATTATGTTCATTAGATCCTTCAGTGGACAGAATTCAGACTGCCGGTATACCAATATTAAAGAAATTTTTAGCTGGTGACAATGAAGTTGTATTAACCACTCGCAAGAGAGGAGCAGCACCTCTGGGAGGTGGCGAAGTACACTTTCAATGTCCCATTAGTCGTTATTTGAGAACACTTCAGGTACTTAATATTTGACTTGTTGTATATTTTCTGGGAACATATTCTGTGTGCACTAATGAATATTTCTTGAACATGTATAGTTTGAAGACAGTGGAATGGTGAAACGTATCAGAGGTACTGCGTGCAGCATAAGAGTTTCTCCGACAATAGCCAATCGCATTGTTGAGTCGGCAAAGGGTGTTCTTCTCAACTTTATACCAGACATATATATTTATACGGATCACTGTAAAGGAGCGAACAGTGGCAAATCTCCAGGTATAAATCACATTCGTGTTTAATATTACAATCACATAAGAGTTATAATGTAATATTAGCTGTTGTTACTTGTTTTTACATTACAGGTTTTGGAGTTACTTTGGTAGCAGAGACGACCAAGGACGTGTTCTTCGGTGGACAAGCATTTTCGCCAGTAATGACAACGGGATCATTGCCCTGTATACCTGAGGATATCGGCAAAGAAGCCGCAATGAGACTTTTAGATGAAATTTATAGGTAAAGAGAATTTTATATTTGTGTAGTGCAAAAAAAAGTGTTTATTTATTTTTGCTCAAACTTTTTGGAAATTTCCAGAAACGGATGTATAGATTCACCGTTTCAAAGTATGACCGCTGCATTTATGGCTCTTGGCAAAAAGGACGTTTGCAAAGTTACAGTAGGACCGTTAACTCCAGCGGCGTAAGTAATATTTTGTTCTTTGTTTTATTTGTCAATTGAAGCAAAACTGACGTCCGTGAATTTTCAGGATACAATTCTTGCGCGACTTGCGTGACTTCTTCGGAGTGGTTTTCAAGATAGAACCGGTTAAAGAGGAAGACGAAATATTGCCCCAAGTGCGCTTGACTTGTCTAGGAATAGGTTACGCTAATATAAGCAAACGAACTTTGTAATGTAAACATTTGTAAATAAGACTTGAGTATTTATATTCAATACATGATTTTACATCAAAATTTTACAGAAATTAAATGAAACATACCTGTGTGGCGATAAATTTATATGCGCGCTGTATTTTCAAAATTTAGATATATTCCGATGCGATTAGATAATTCTAGGGATTTTGCGACTATTGGCGACCATTGTCTCGGCCTAACAACACGCAGGTTATGTTTACAGCATACGGTTGCTGTAGCATCGTACATCTGACCTGAAGATAATTTGTTTTTTTAACAAAATGTCCGTGATATTTCGAAGAATTTTTAACACATTGCAAAGAGCCAATCGTCAGGCATTAAAATATAGCACTGTTGTCGAGAATCAGGTCGAGAATCAAGTTAACGATACGACGGAAGAGAAAGACATCGTGCCGATTATATCGAAGCGACAATACGACGACGATGATCGTTTGTATCAGAAAATCCGCGAGGTGTGGATCGAAAACTTCGACACCGTGGAAGAGAAGAAATTGGGCTTGATGAGTTTGCATCCGCAAGTCTACGCGACCGCACCTCGTATGGATATGATCCACCAGAATGTGAGGTGGCAAAGAATGTATCGCTGGGTGGTGAGTGTGTTAAATATCTTTACAGTTTACACACGTTTTACCGGTAAAAAAACTTTGATGTATGTTTTTTTCACAGTGTTACGCGCACACAAAAACCCGAGCCGAAGTCAAGGGTGGCGGTAGAAAACCGTGGCCACAGAAAGGTATGGGGCGTGCTCGTCACGGAAGCATACGTTCTCCGTTGTGGAGAGGCGGTGGAGTAGCACACGGTCCAAGGTCCCCTACAACGCACTTCTACATGCTGCCGTTTTACAATCGTGTACACGGTCTCACGTCGATGTTGTCTGTAAAACTTGCGCAAGATGATCTGCGTGTAATCAAGAATTTAGACATTCCGACGGCAGATCCTTCCTACATAGAGCAGCTGATAGAGGAGAGAAATTGGGGACCATCTGTTCTTATTGTGGATAGCTACGATATCATGCCTAAAAATATCGCATTGGCCACAGACGAGATCAAGCATGTCAATCTGATGCCTGTTTACGGTGAATACATTGAGATGCAGTATACTGTGAAATTGAAAGAGTTTGATTGCTATTAAGCCAATATTAAACTATTATATTTTTCTAGGTCTAAATGTGTACAGCATGTTAAAACACAGTACTCTGGTACTTACCGAGTCAGCAGCCAGATTGATAGAAGAGAGATTACTTTATCAATTACACAGGGCAGATTACAGAAAAGTGCAACGTAAATTTAATATGAGTCAAAAATAAAGAACATCGATTTTCAATGAAATTTAGATGTTCGTTGTTATTTATACACGTGTATACAGGTCCATGTACATTTTAAATATCTATACAAACAATCTAGTAGATAGAAGAAACATATAAAATAAAATGTTGCTATTATATTTCAATTGTCATTGTTCTATTTTGTTGCTATGCCGAAGACGTGCCGTCTAGAGAGAATGAAGTGAAACCAGTGAGAAACATATCCTTCCAGCTCCAATATCGTCCATGATACCTTTTCGAAACCAACGTTTTCTATGTCGGCGATACAGTCGGCATCTAAGCGACAATCGCCGAATAAAGAAGGCCATATGCCGGTTCGTGTCAACGCTATTTGCAACCATCGTACGAAAGTATCTGTCTCCGGAACGTGTTCCATGAAAATATACGTTCCTCCCTGTAGGTTTGAAATGGAAGAAGAAAAACGCTTTGGTAATTGGCACAACTTTTTTTTTTTCATACAGATTTTTGTACTAAACTATAAGTTATTTCGTTATTTATAATTAATTATAAATAACGAAAAGGCCAAGTGATATTTCTTACCGGAGCTAATACTCTGTAAATTTCCTGAAGGGTACCTTTCACCGATCTCACGGAACACAGCGACCTAGTAGTCACCACCACATCCACACATCCCGTCGACACTTCCCTCAAAGAACTTCCATCGCTTACTATCAACCGCTCGATAATCACATGAGAAAATTGCCGCGAGCGATTTCCTTTAACCAGATATTCACCGAGCCGGATGTTCCAGTCGACGCCGATGAGATGCGTGCCCTTCGGATAAAACTGTATATTTTCACCTACAAAGAACGCGTGGATCAAGTCAAATAAACAACCATAAATCTTCAAATAACGCGCTATAAATAAAGTAAAGGAAGAGTTTGCAGAGTTGCGTCGCAGTTTTTGCCTCAGAAGAAAAATAAAATCGATTAGTTTTTCGTTTAATTAATACCGTGCGCGAATCCGATCCACACCCGTTTTAACGCCAATTTCGAGGACGCGAAGACAGCCCATGGAACATAACATTTCGTCGTTGGAAACAACGCAGCTCAACGTGCTAAAGAGATATTCCCTGTACGGACTGGACAGTTTGGCGCATTCCGTTTCGTATCCCAAAAGGTGAGCCTTGTAAATATCTTTCAGCAGGGTGGGCCACTTTTGAATTGTCCAGATCGCGATGCACAAAACGATCATCGCGATCAATCCGTAACTCGATAGTACATCGCGCACCCACAAGTCGTTGTTGCTCATTTTCAATGAAAATGTAAAAAAATGACGATAAAAAATTTACTCGAACTGAAGATACGTCAGAGTCTGACGTATAGACACAAAATTAGTTTTTCTTTTTTGCGCAATTATTTTGTATACAAAAATATTTTACATTATTTTTATATATATGGTGTCTAGGTAAATTAATTCTGTAAAAGTGAATCGGAGACCTATTCAAATTAGGTTAATCACGTGAAAATGTTTAAATTACACGCGTGTATTCTGAATAATATATTTGACCTTCTGTCACAGTAACAGACTTTAATACCACTTTTTCGATATTTTTTATAATATTTATTTATTCTCGGTAATTACAACTTCGCGACTTTAGAAAATTACACACACTTAGCAACTGTGCAATAATCCAATCATAACTTTACGTAAGAAACAACTACTGTCGTCGTTTGCTCGTTTTGCGTGATACTGCAAACAAAAATATCAGCACGTTCATTATCGCACTTGTCATAACCCAGTGACGGCTCCGATTTTTTCAAGACCCCGAAACATTTATATTTCCGTTTGGAACGTATATAAAATTTCATTTGTATGTGCGCGCGCGTGTATATATGCGTGTGATGATAATCTGCGATTTTGCTCTGCGACCAGCGAGACGAGAAATCGCGATCTTGCGCGAAGTGCATCGGCGAGCCGTAAAAGTCGCGCCGTTTCGGCGAGAGCGCGTTCGAACAAAACAGGGGAACGATTTCCGATGGTCCGCGAAATTGTTTCCCCGAGCGCACGACAGAATGGGAAACAAGTAATCGGCTCGGGTTCCGGAAAACAATGCTAGCGCAGTTTTCGAAACGCGAAAAAAGAACGCGCCCGCCGCCGAGTGCCTCAAGAGGGTGACACACATAGGCAAGGGGGAAGAGGAGAGGGGAAGAAAAAAAGATGCCCGATGAAAGAGCGAAAACATATCGGCGCTAGGGGGCACCTCTTTGTTTCGCGGTTTCAAGAGTGACCATAAACAAAAAGCGCGATCGGGCAATTTCGGCTCGCTCGGCCGAGTACGTGCGCGCGCGCGGGATCCATTGTGGCGCAATTTCGCGAGTCCGTGGAGAGGCGTTTTGTTTGTTGCATCGGGGCGGAGAGGAGGCCGGTCGTTTTCACGGCGGTTCGTTGATTCGAAAGAAATCGCCGCCGATGTGAAATGCATCTCTCTCCTTTTGCCGCGTGAACGACACGGTGGTCGCACGCCAGAGGTAATAATCGCCAATGTCTAATATGAGCGACGTGTTTCGCTTCCGCGTGTAATTTAGAATTTTTCCCGCCACTACGTTCGCCAAGTCTGACATCGTCATTGCGCGTATAATTTTGAATTTTTTCGCGCCGCCATGTTCGCTCCCGTTGAAAAGCTTTCTTCTTTTTATCGCGTTGCATAAACGTAAATCTTGTTGCGCAACTTGAATGTCATTTGTTCGGGCGTAAATGTACTTCGCGCGCGAAATGAAATTGAAAGAGAGAGAGAGAGAGAGAGATAGTCGACGCTGGTAGAAAGATGCCATATGTCGGCCGTGTGCGTTACTAATAAGTCGGCGTCGCGTGTCAAAGGACGTCACATGCGACGCGCGCGTTTGCCCTCCCGTTTTGCCGCGGGTTCTCGCGCAATTAGCCGAGCTAAATGCCGCCACACTTTACGTAATCGCTCGCCTCCTGCTAACTGCTTATCTTTCCTGGCACAAGTAAGAGAGAAAAAAATAGGAGAAAGAGAGAGAAAAACGATTCCACCGTCAACGGCACATCTGCTGCCGCGCGTCCGCCATTTTGTGTATACAACTTGACCGAAAAAAAAAAGCGCGACGTTAATTAAATTCGAAATAGATGATTTATGTGTAAATTCGAGTCAAAACATTGAGATAGAAATGAAGGAAAACATATTGCGTATCCTTTGAATCGAGAATCGATCTTTCTTTTTCTCTTTCAAGACGAAGTCTCATCTTTCTTCTTTATTCTTTCATCTCTTGCCGCTTGCCATTCTTTTGTACCTTGAACACAATGGCTAGAAACGCGTCAGCAGGTTTAAACATACGGAATTTTCGAGTATCACGACGGCTTATTGCCGAGCACGAAGCCGACCGCCTACCTATCTTCTTGATCTCTCGAGAGTGAAAAATATTTAAATGCTGCTGTCGCGCGATTCGAATTCAATACCGCGTCAGCGCGAAAAAAAAAAAGCACAATGACGTTACGACCCGCTACTCTCGAGAGTTGTGTATCTTTCAATTGAAAAAATGCGAATGAATTTGATACACTAATGAAATTTCGCATTTCTCGTGAAATATAAATTCTAGAGAAGAAATAAAAAATTTGTTTATTTGCGACATGTAATTCGTAAAATGCCTTTGCATTAATTGTTTCTTCTTTCTATTTCGTTTTTCACGTTCGTGAATTTTGCGATATTTTTTTAACGTTTTACGTTATTGCGAAAAGCTTTTCTTCGTCACAAAGTATTAAACAAAACGCTATTGTTTCAGGTACTTTTATGCTTACACTATCTATACCTGGCACGGCGCATCATGGCGGAGAGGAAGACACTCGAGCCGCTCTTTTTTAAGTGCCGCCACGACAGCGAAGTCGGTCGCATTGTCTCCATTGTTGCTGAATTGTAATCAATATTGTCACAATATAACGGCATTGTCCGTAGCACGGTCGTCTTGTCTCGGTAAGTGTGCTTCATGTCAACTCTTTCTTTCTTTGACAAACTTGCAGTAAATTTGAATGAAAATCTGGCCGTAAACTCTTTCTTCGCGAATAAATTTTTAAAACTAAGAGAACCAGAGCATGAAACACGCGTAAAAAATTGAAAAACACGTGAAAGACTTTTAAGATTTTGACACGGAGACTTTAGAGAGATTTATCAACTTACTATTTTATACCATTGGAAGTTGCTCGACTTACGGTATTATTACTACTTACGGACTTACAGCGCGTGTAGGTACTTGATACCAAGGCTAGTCTCCTTTTATCAAGTTAGATTTATAACAAAGTTTAAAGAGAATGTAAACCAACAAGATAATATAAAAAATTTATGGTTTTTTTTGTTTTATTATATCTGACGCTTTGGTTATTTGTTGCACGTGATTTCCACTTGCAAAAAATACGCACTGGATTGCATAAATTACCACCAGATGCGTTCGTCTATGCATATTTTACTACAGTCATAAATTACATTATTATAAAATAGTTAAACCATTGCTAATTGTGTGTATTAAAACCTGCAATAAATTTGAATTACCGTGATAAGAGAAATAGAATGAATAACTGACTTCAGTATGAGAGATAACGTACTGTCTAAAAATACATGCAGAAGTATTAGATCTATTGCCTCTTCTTCCGCCTTACATATCTTCGTCATCGTTGCAAATGTGTGCTTGTTTTTTTTCTTCCTATTTTCCAGTCAATAAATTTTATTTGCCTGTCAAAGGCTAATTATCATGGTTTTAGAACGTTTTTTTTAGTTACAAGCAGGAAACAAAATAGACTCAAGGACGTAATGTAACGATCTCTCAAGTCAAGGATTAAAATGTCTATCTAAGAGTGAGGTCAAGGGTTACATTGTTCACTACGCTAGTTCGAAGTTTGTCATGGTGATTAGACATGTGTTTTCAACACATTTCCTGAATCGCACACGTCTCACAAGTGAGTGTATGTGTGTGGACGAGGAGGATTATTTATATAAGAAAATTTCTTCGAAACAATCTTTTACTCACACTGTACAGACTAAAAATGATTCTTAGCACTTCTTCTCTTATCTCTATTTGTTTCTGATAAAAACCTACAATCTTCAGATCTATCGATATAAACATCGATTTGTCAATGTCAATCTGTCAAACATGATCGATTTTGAAGTACGGATCCTACTATTGACATGTAGTCACAATCCACACACAAAAATATTTTTTAAAAATATAACTTTTCTGACGCAACATTTAAAGTGTATTCCAATATTTACGTATACAGAACAAATACTATGTCGTTTCTCAGATTTAGCTTTTATCGGATCATTCGCAGGTAAAGATAGAAAAAAGAAGATTGATCGCGAAAGATCATTGTGTGGAAATATCGGTGGTGGAAATAAACACATCACACGCTCCGGGACCGGAGGGTGGATTTCCCGCGATTCTCTCTCCCTTTCCCTTCCCCGTGTCTTTGTGATATTTTTGTAATTTCTATCTCTGCGGTATACCTGTGTATGTGTGTGTGTGTGTGTTATGTATGGTAACGGCGGCAGCTGCCATCTAATTGAATTATCTAGTTTTCAATTCGACGCGGAGATTTCGGGCGAAAGGCCCGACGAAAAGTCATAAAGGCTAAATATTGATGAAAATGCCAAGGCATTGTTGTACCTCGGGCCCCCGGATCGTTTCTTGACGAGGGCGTGGCTGGCCGATTTGTGTGAGTCTTTGTTTGTCATGGCTAGATCTTTTGCAATGGTGCCCAGATGCCGCCAATGCAGTGGTAACGATGCCCGATTTTGGGGATGAACTCAGGTAAAAAAAGATGGAACGCCCATTCTGAAGAAGGTGGTGAAAAATATTCACCAAGACCGCTTCGTTACTTATCCTTGTTTATCGGGATTAGGCGCCGCGGTAGGTAAAGTTTTCTCGACTTTTTTTTTTTTCCCAGATCACCTGGGATATCCATCCGGTGATGTTTGCCAAAGAAATTATTTAAAACGCACCCAAATAAACTCTCCTTATCTTAGATTTTCTCTTTTCGAAATGTTTTCGAGTAAATATTTGAAGAAAATGAGATATCTCATTATCTCGACATCTTCTCAATTAAAGTTTCTGTCTGTGTATTCGTTCTTTTGTGTATAACAGATGATATATCGGGCAGAGAAACATCTTCCGAGAAAAGTGTGTTCTCAAAAGAAAAATATCTGTGATAGAGATGAGCTGAAACAAACCTGTTAATTTTCAAAGAGCGGCAGTAAAAAATTGTCAAAAATTTGTGGGTGGCTTCATTGTAAATAATAATCTTTATTGTGTAAAACGAAAATGAAATCGGAGCGGAAGCTACCGAATAGAATGGGGCGGATTTTTACTGTCAACGTTTAAGATTCTTTTTGCGTCAAGGTAGACTAATGGCCGACCAAACTTTGCCCATATTGTAAGATAAGTTAAAATTCTTTACCGCACAGCACGTGTCATACAATACCAAACACGATCTCGGATGACGCGCGTGACGTATGCCGACCGTTATAATAATTCGCTATCTTAAAATACCGAATACCCATCATTACGAGGAAACGACGCCGTGACAAATTTTACGCAGCGTAACAAAACTATTGTTACTTGAAGGCAAAACGTTTAGCGTTATATCATTTCTGTAGTGTAAGTCACAATGGTCAAACCATTTCATCGAACCTTTTTTCTCGGTAATTTTCCTAAGTGTTAATTCCACAACTTTACGGATGGCAGACAATAGT